AATAGAATGAAATACAACAATAGACAACAAAATACTTAGAAAGAAAAGGTAAGATAGATAGATACACTAATACTGAAGGTACCCACTTTGTCACATCCATCGATTCTTAACTGTGACACTAGCGGTTTATAGGATGCACGAGTGATCTGTGTCTCTCTGGTGTGCAATTTCAGCATAAAACGGTTCAAACGCCACTCCTAGTTAGAGGGGAGGATGGCGCATCGACGTACCCCACCTGAGCTGTCCCAGAGGACAGAGTACCTGGAACCTGATAATGATTCCGACAGGGACTCTGGTGTTGGGGATGATGCAGGGGAGGATGCTGACAGTTGCCATGGAAGCACGGTAACAGAAGAGGAGAAGGTCAACACGCAAGATGGCAGCGAAGAAAACATTGGAGAGGGGGAAGATTTTACAGTTTTTGTTGCCTTTCAAGGGAATATGGAGGATGAAGATTTCACACAAAAACTTGACTCTATCCTCAGTGGGATACCAGACATGCTCGATATGGGTTAGTTTAATTTTATTCAACTCTTATTTATATTAGGAAAAAAACAAAGAAAAGGGAGCTGCCCAGTACAGTTGTCTACTGGCCACCGTACACCTCCCGCTGTGTATCTGAGCTGCTTAAAAACACATTTATCCTCTTGGACCTTTCCATGTTTTATTATTTAATATGGAACAGTAGATATGATCAATAAAAGATTACACTACTGTCAAAGTATGAATATGTAGGCATAGATAATGGGCTGAATACATCCATTAGTTATTTTGTAAACCATTATTTTACCCTATTTAAGTTAATTTGTAGAGATTTGTGTTAACTTTCCCATGTTTTCATATCTGACATACATCCACTTTGTGTTTGTTTCTTTTTTGTTGTAAAACAAGCCCAAGGGCTGCTGTTTTACAGTGTACATTTGAGACATGCCCCTATTTCTGTGTGCTGTTTTATTTTTCTTAACTTTCCTTGTCTTTCTCTAACCAATAGTCTCTAGAATTTGTATGTATACACTTTAATTGCAACTTATATCCATCGTTTGGCCCTCTTTTAGGCTCTGAGAGGCTCCAGCCACAGCATGTGGAGCCGTGGAACAGTGTGCGAGTTACCTTCAACATTCCTCGGGATGCTGCTGAGCGACTCCGACTGCTGGCCCAGAACAACCAGCAGCAGCTCAGAGACCTGGGGATTCTCTCTGTGCAGATAGAAGGTAACAGCACTGCCTTCAAACTCCTTGCCACAAAAAAGTGAGACAACGGGCCTCATGCATGAATCATTCGAAAGCACAGATGAGAACAATTTAAGAACTTTAGTGCCATCCATCAGTTTCCTTAGTGTGTTCTAGTCCACATGTTAGAAAATATGCACAGAGACCAACTTTTTGTGCTGGGAAATATTAATAATGAGTAATAATTAATAATTTACCATATGGAAACTATAGAGAAATGTTCTACAATTATTTAGTCATTTAATCAATTTTTTTAGTTATTAAAGATGATTATGTTACAGAGGCAGATCCTTCAAACCCTGTCTGCTGTTCTGGAGCCTTAACTTAGATCAGTTTTTTAATTATCTGATCCCACTACACCCCATCTGCAAGTATGCCTACTCATCACCATCAGTTTCCTGGATACTGGGACCTCCCAGAGAGAGACATCGCATATCCCAGTCCACTGTTCACACATCAGATGAGAAGAAAAATTGTTGCCTAAATGAACCATTGAAATGAGAGATGTTTATGGGAGAAATTGGACAGCACTGATTAAAACAGATCAAACCAGGTCAGCTTAGTCTTACCACAGTGAAGCCATACAGGTCAGTCATGCCAAGAATAGGGCTGCGCAATTAACCACAATATTATCAAAATCACAATAAGGCCTGTAGTTTTTTTATATATAATATAAAATGTGTGTCAAACAGCATTATAATGGAGTGCTGTAGTGCTGCAGAGATGCCCTAACCTACAAATCATGTTTCATAAATCCCACATAGGATTTTCTTATTTTCCTATTATTGCTTTGTTTATCTTTTTTCATCTGTCGCACACCAAAATAAAGGATACAAAGTAGACCTCCTGTAGTAAATGTTAGTTATAGATGTTCCCTCTATTGTTGTTCAGGGGAAGGGGCCATCAATGTGGCTGTGGGACCAAATAGAGGACAAGAAGTCAGAGTGAATGGACCAATTGGAGCACCTGGCCAGATGAGAATGGATGTTGGCTTTCCAGGTCAGCCTGGTCCAGGTATTAATTTACTAAGTTGATTACACATGGTCCCTCTGTACCAACTAGACTGAAACTGTGCTTCAATATTGGATAGTAGTTCTTTTTAGTAATAGTAGTTGTAGTAACAGTAGTTTTTTGTTTTAGATAATGGTACAGTAGATAATATGCAAACATTGATTGATTTTCTTCTTATTCATTTCTAACACACCTGCATCCATAAAGACATGAAAAAAAGAGCTGTAAAGGCCTAAATTAGTTAAATGCATTGCTTTTTTTGGTTTTGTTTTCATTAGTGTGTTACATCAATTCATTAGTTAATTTTTATTTACTTATTTTCTTATTCAGTGTTTCGTCATTTGATAAATATTTAGTTTCTTTATACATAATTATTACATATCCGCACATTTCCATTAGGAGGGGTAAGGATGGCTAACCCATCGATGGTTCCCCCTGGCCCTGGCATGGCAGGTCAAGCTATGGTACCAGGCAGCAGTGGACAGATGCATCCTCGTGTTCCAAGACCATCTTCACAGACAGGTTCAGGTCTTTATTTCTTGTACGTCAAAAGATGCATGTCGTAATTTTGAACATCTCCCTGCTCGGTCAGTACAATAATGGAAAAACTGCGTCTTCTTCACTCACAGATGTGATGGAGCCAATGATGCCAGGTATGTCGGTTCAGCAGCAACAGCAACTTCAGCACCAACAGGCTGGTCCCCATGGCCCTGGCCCAATGCCTCCTCAGGCTGCCCATCACATGCAGGCCCTGCAAGCCGGGAGACCGCTCAACCCCGGTGCACTGCAGCAGTTACAGCATCACCAACAGCAACAGGCCCAACAGCAAGCTCAGCTCTCCCAGCTTGGACCTAGACCTCCATTTAACCCATCAGGCCAGATGGCTGCGCCTCCTGGATGGAACCAGTTGCCCCCTGGGGTGCTTCAGCCACCAGCCGCCCAAGGAGGCCCTGCCTGGAGAAAGCCCCCACCCCAAGCCCAAATGGTTCAACGTCCACCCTCACTTGCAACAGTTCAGACTCCCAGCCACCCTCCACCCCCTTACCCATTCGGCAGCCAGCAGGCTGGGCAGGTATTCAATGCCATGGGACAGGGACAGTTACAGCAACAACAGCAGACAGGAGTGGGTCAGTTTGCCGCCCCCCAGCCTAAAGGCCCACAAGCTGGCCCTGGTGGTGTCGTGGGACCGCCCAGACCTCCTCCACCCCTTCCACCAACTTCTGGGCCACAGGGCAACCTCACTGCCAAGTCGCCTGGTTCCTCCTCGTCTCCTTTTCAGCAGGGTTCACCAGGGACTCCTCCCATGATGGCTCAGAGACCTACAACTCCACAGGGTTTTCCCCAGGGAGTTGGATCACCAGGAAGAGCAGCCCTCGGCCAACAGGGTAACATGCAACAAGGATTTATGGGAATGCCCCAGCATGGACAGCCTGGGGCCCAAGTTCACCCAGGTAAGTTCCCGTTTATGACCATTTCTTGTTACGTTAAATAACGGTATTTTTGGTCATCTTAAAATATTTTTATATTAACGTTATTTTACATTTTGTACTTGATGCCTAAAATATCAAAATCAATGAATACTGATTATAGGCATGCAGAAGCGTCCCATGGGCTTTCCAACCCAAAACTTTGTCCAAGGTCAGGTGAGTGCCAGCACTCCAGGAACCCCTGGTGGAGGACCCAGTCAGCAGCTACAGAGCAGTCAAGCGATGACTCACACAGGTAAAATATCTACAATGCTGCGAACAAATCTGTTTAATTTGATTATCACATAGTTCTGACAATCACATGTACTGAGACAAGATACTTTACATTTTATAAAATAAACTTGTTGTGATAGCACATAACTGTAAGAAATGCACTTTAAATAAAACAACTCAACTTTAACAACAGTAAATGTTCATTGTTATGAACAGCACAGTAGATTTTTGATGCTGCTAAAATGGCACGGATAATTAAAAATAATGAACCTGCAATGGTTTGTCTGTTTCCTGGCCATATAAGCTACTGACACCATGAACGGTTATTACAGCTTAATTTAGTAATGCTTTCGGTTTATCATATACTTGTTGACATTGAGTAGCTTACGATTTCAATTCTCATTTAGATTTAATGAACTGCTTTGTGCCAACAGCCTAACTTCACACGCCATGGCTTGACGTGCAGTTTGCAGAAGGCATAATAGCTTATTACCTACCAAAACCCATTTAAATAATTTCCTTTTTCCCTCTCCATTTTACACCAGGAGCTCAGCCATCAGCCTCCACACCAAACTCAATGCAGGGTCCACCTCATGTCCAACCCAACATTATGGGTGTGCAAAGTAGCATGGCAGGTCCACCCCCTGGTACAACTGCTGGGCCTAGTATGGGGCAGCAACAGCCTGGTCTCCAGACCCAGATGATGGGCCTCCAGCATCAGGTCCAGCCCGTGTCCTCCTCCCCCAGCCAGAAGGTTCAAGGCCAGGGTGGAGGTCAAACTGTCCTCTCAAGGCCCCTTAGTCAAGGGCAGAGGGGAGGGATGACCCCACCCAAGCAGATGATGCCTCAGCAAGGCCAGGGGGTGATGCATGGGCAGGGTCAGATGGTTGGAGGCCAAGGGCACCAGGCCATGCTCATGCAGCAGCAACAGCAACAACAGCAGCAAAACTCCATGATGGAACAAATGGTTAACAAGCAGGCATTTGGAGGCAAGATTCCAGCTGGGGTCATGCCTGGCCAGATGATGCGTGGCCCTTCTCCAAACGTTCAAGGTAACATGGCTCAGTTCCAGGGCCAGGTTGGCCCACAGCAGATGACTCCACAACAGCAACAACAAATGGCTCAACTCCAACAGCAGCAGTTACAACAGCAGCAGCAGCACCAGTTGCAACAGCAACAGCTGCAGCAGCAGCAGCAGCAACAACAACACCAGCAGATGAACCAGCAACAGCCCCAACAGGTTCCTATTGCTGGCAATCCTAATCAAGCTATGGGCATGCATGGGCAACAGATGAGGCTCCCTGCTGGTCATCCACTTGTCCAACAGCAGTTGCAACAGTTGCAGCAGCAGCAGCAGAAACAACAGCAACAGCAACAGGCCATGTTGCAACAGCAACAACAACAACAACAGGCAGCTCAACAACACCCACATCCTTTGGGAGATCCTAATAGTGGGACAGGGGACTTGGGGGTTCAACAGATGGTCCCTGATATGCAGGCGCAGCAGCAAGGCATGATGGGGGGCCCTCAGCACATGCAGATGGGAAATGGCCATTTTGCAGGTCATGGCATGAACTTTAACTCACAGTTCCAAGGTCAGATGCCAATGGGGGGACCCTGTGGACAGCCTGGTGGCTTCCCTGTCAGCAAGGATGTAACACTGACTAGCCCACTGTTGGTTAACCTGCTGCAGAGTGATATCTCCGCCAGCCAGTTTGGGCCAGGAGGAAAACAGGGAGCAGGTGGGGGCAATCAGGCCAAACCCAAAAAGAAGAAACCTGCACGGAAGAAGAAACCCAAAGAGGGAGAGGGACAACAACAAGTAGAGGGACTTGGGTAATAATTTTATCATTTTGGTTTTGCCATCATGGATAGTTAAAATAAATTGTATCACTGTTACATTAATTCTTGGATGCAGCTTCATCTGTCTATTGTCTTTTTCTTAGTGGTCTTGATGCAGCTGCTGGCATGGAGGATTCCGAACTCCCAAACCTCGGTAGTGAACAGAGTTTGGGTTTAGACAACTCTGGCCCAAAACTCCCTGATTTTGCCAACAGGCCTCCAGGTAAATGACAGAATCAATTTTAGCATTGTTTTTGTATCTGCATTAAGTTGCTGATTCTTTTTATTAAATTAACTATACAGTAAACTTCACTTTTCCAAAATTGGGTTTTTATCTGTTTTGTAAATATGTACCTCTTTACACTTTCCCTAGGCTTTCCTGGCCAACCTGGAGACCAGAGAGTGTTGCAGCAAGTACCCATGCAGTTTATGCAACAGCAGCAGCAACAGCAGCAACAGCAGCAGCAGCAACAACAACA